TTGTCTCCATTTTGACAGAAGCCAGAGATCGAAATTATCGCTGATGTCAGAAAAGAAACGGCACTTTTCACCCGTATAGAGAATGAAAAGTTAAAACAAAGAGCCAGAGAACTTTTTTCAAGCAAAGTAATTCTCTCGAGAAAAGTAGCTATGATAATTTCTTCTCACTCGGTACTTTTTTTTCCAGTGGTTATGATTTTTCACCCTTCCCGAGAAGCCGATTTTAAGCCCAAACCGAGCTTGTGCCATACGGGACTAGATTCCCAGCGTTATGTGAGAGACAGCTAGTACTCAGAGATGCCACATATGTTTCGAGTATCATCCATACCATTTGTGGAATACTTCTATCATTTGGGTTATGTGGGTTATCATTCGTTTATGTTTTTATTAGGAAACATTCAAACCGCAGCAAACAAAATAAATCTAGCGTTTAGAATCATAACTGCGATGATCGATTATCTTCATCGATTTTCTCTTCCCATTACTACAGTTAAGTAAAACAAATTTTCCGAAATTGTTCAAGTAAAGTGTACTGAAATGCTAGCAAAATAACCAACAAATGCTCAATCAACCGAAAACCTAATAAACCTAACGAGTTAGTAACAAAAGAGAAAATCGATCATCACAGTTAGGCGCTTATGATTTTGAATGCTAGAAATATTGCTTGTGAAAGAAAACAGCGAAATCTTCTTTTTCTCTTGTTTTGGTCCTTAGTTGGCTCAAACCAACAGTGAATTTTATGAGACGTTTTTGATCAGCTGATTTTTCAATTCATGAATAATTTTTGGCCTCCTTTGTCAAAGTTTATTCATAAATTGAAAAATCAGCTGATCAGAAACGTAACGTAACCTAACGACTGTGAGAAGCAATATTAATAACACATGCTGTCAGGCAAACTGGCTCCTGTCATTTCATAAAATAGACTATGTGATGTACTATCAACGTTCTACCACTGTTTAAATGGTTGATGGAGTGTGACGTTAAACTTTGTCATACATTTAAACAGCAGGCGGATCATCTGCACAGAAATTCAAAACAACCCAAAATTAAGTTCTTTTCACTCATCTCCCATGTTCCATACGATAAGCCAAATTTGGGTAAACCGGCTCAAAGTAGTTTGCATTTAAGCACGGCAAAAAAAAATTACCCATCGCTAAGTTATTTTCAATTTTTTCTACCCAAAATTAAGTTCAATTAACTCAAATTTTGGGTATATCGCATATTACTCAATTTTGGCTTCTCGTACGGAATTAGACGGTTGAGTCGAATCTTTCGTTCTATTTTGGACAACAATAGCGAGAGGAAATGAAACGGGCAGAGGTCAAATAACTCAAATTTGAGTTTAAAAAACCCAAGCGGTGGGTAGTTTTGTTTTTCTGTGTGGTTACATCACATTGGGCACAAACGATCAGATGCTGCACTCCTGCTTGGACTCCAGCAACACACTATCGAATATTTTCGGTGTCTAATGGGAGATGAAAAAGTCAAGCTGAACATTGCATTAGGTCCTCAGTAACATTGACAGATTATCTTCGTCGACTTTCTCTTTGCATCCCCACGGCCATGTAGAGACATTCCCAGGTATTTTCTGCACACAGATCGATAAAAAAAGCTTTTTTCTAACATCTAATAGGGTAGAGCACTACTTCGTCGTAATCGCCCATTTCGTTCTATCGATCAGAAAAGATCAATAATATCAATGATTTCACCGTGCACAAATCAATAATAAGTTTGTTCCGATGCGTTAGTTCATTAGCTACAACATAAATCCTGTTAGAGCGCATTGTATGAATATTTACGCTCATTGTTCTCAAAACAAAAGAAGCGCTCCTAGCAAATCCCCTTTTTCTACGTTTATCCGTAGGACGAAGAAAATCTAATGGCGTTTCAATGCGTTAGGACGGAATGGAAACTCGTAGAACGAATTTAGAATCAAGAAGCAGTGTTAGATTTTTATCTTTAGATTTATCTCAACATTGTTTGACTCTTTATCGAATCCAACGGTACGTATGGAAAGCTGAATAAATTTAGGAGTCATCTTTGAAAGAAATATTCCATTTTTTATTTAAACTCGTTCAGAAAAGAGAGGCAAAGCGCGGGTTGTGCTTAGAAGGACGGAAATTAGATCGAAAACCCTACGACAATCACATCAAGAAACGGTTCCGTGTTCAAGTTATTAACGAAAGAGAAAGTCGACGAAGAGAATCGATCAATGTTACTTAGGACCTAATGCAATGTTCAGCTTGAAGTGTTTTCACCGATTTTGAGAGAGCGATATTTTCATGCATTGAATGGGAGAGGAAAATGAATAATCGTAAATAGGGTTAACTACCCCTTTTCCAGCCTATTAAGCACAACCCCCACTTATGTCGTTTTCGTTTTTGCGGTGTAGCACTGATGTAGTGTAAGCAGGAATAAGCGCGAGTCTTTGATAGCTCAACATGATTTGTTTGTAAACAAAGGTGCATCCTATATCTACACCCTAAAATATTTCGGTGTACGGCAGTGTAGCACCGGTGTAGCTACACCGCAAAAACGAAAACGACATTAGTCTTTCTTAATGTAGCGCAGTTTAGCACCAAACGGTATGTTATTATTACTGATGCTTTCCAAATTTATTTACCTTTCCGTACGTACCGGAAGATTTGATAAAGAGAAACCAATCGTTGAGATATTGTCAAAAATCTAATAATTCTTGACGCCAAACTCGGCCTACGGATTCTAAACTCGGCCTAACGCATTGCAACGCCATTGAAACGCAAATGAATTCACTTCGCCCTATCGGATGAAGATAAAAATTGATTCGGTCGGAACGCTTCTTTTGTTTTTGAGAATAATGGGTGCAAACCTTCATATCACGCGTTCTCATTGACTTCGTTCGGTAGCTTATTAACTAAAGTATCGCACCAAATGCATAACAGACTTGTTAACTCTGAAATCATGGATTTATTTGAAGTTTTCTTTCTGCTCGATGGGCAAAAAATGGGCGATTAGGCTGAAGTAGTTCTCTACCCTATTGTCCATTCTCAGATCTGCGAAAAGCAGCTTGAGTGATGCGTCGGTTATCTTGCAGCTGAGCGATAATTTAGAGCGCTGACAGAAACCTTTGTTGATCTAGTGTGCTCTTGAATAAAACGCTGACCAGACTGAGCAGTTATAACAAGTTATAACGGTTGTCAAATAATTGCAGCACAGAAACTACCATCAAACATCAAACATTGTAAGTCTGAACGTACTATAAGATTCATTACACTTGCATAAAGCAATGTTTTTTGAGGGAGATTTATGCAGCACTTTTGAAGTAGATTTATTCCCATAATAAATATTGTCCTCGCACACTAAGATTTTGTTTTCGTGTTCGGTAAATTTTACCGAAATCAGAACAGCTGAATGTTCGGTAAAACTTTGAACTTCAACTTTAAAGGCTATTGAATTTTAAAATAATTTCAAAACACGTTCAACCTTGTTTAAATGATAAAATCTTGTCATTTTAGTGGAGATTTAGTTTCAAAGTAGCCGAAAAGCAATTGAATTGAATTGCATATATTTTGCCGAATGGTTCAGCTGTTCAGATTTCGGTAAAAATTACCGAAGTCAGCGATAATTTCTAAGTGCAGACAACATCCCCAAGTGCTTCATAAAAGTAGTTATAAGAATACATAGTCTCAAGTAAAACGAAGTATAATAAAGCAGTAGTCAACATAAAACAAATATTTCGCAATTAAAACTGCTTTAAGAATAATTTGTATTTACAATTCTAATCGAAATCAATAATAAAAAAAGCCTTGAGATTGTCTTCTTCAGAATTTTAAACATCAAACAAAACTTTAACATCGCTTCTTTTCAGTCATTCAGCTTGGGAAAACTTTCCTATCCGAGATGGAACCAGCTTGTGTCGTCCAGCTCCAATCAAGCGGATTTCCATTCTGTTTTCTCACCACACACACCACATGGGAAAAATGATAATCAACTGATGGAAGCAGATTGCGAGTTCATGTTACGCTTCTTCATGGGTCTGCCGGGGCCTACGTACATATGTTGCAGATACCGCATATTTATTCAGGGTTTTTTACGACCAACAGACGTTCTGATGCTCAGAGTACAGGCCAACACGGGAGCCTCCTCATGGCCCCAAGGCGTACCACAAGCTGGAAGTGGCGGACACGATACCCCGGTGTGCCCACAGATTTTATCGCGTTGGCAATTTTCACAACTTTCCTGAGCACTTGAAATGATAAAAAAAAAAATAAAGTTATGCTTAGACACCTCTGTGGAAGAACTCAAGGAATACTAAGTTGAGGACAGACATAATGTTCAGTAGAAGCCTAATAAGCCAACATGAACATCACATTTTCTAATTCAGTGTCAACATTTCAAAGGGGCGTAATTGCTTTTGTAAACAATGGCTTTAGTCGTAAATTTCTCGCGAATAAAAGCTCACACATGAAAATCAATGGCACTAACAGGTATACATGAATCTTTCTTCTACCACCTAACATTGTTAATTTGGAGGGGTGAGCTTCGATTCGCGAGAAATCGATGGCTAAAGCCATTGTTTACAAAACCAATTATGCCCCTTTGAAATGTTGACACTGAATTTATGAATTTAGAGGCCTCAGATAGCCTCGGTCAGTTAGGGCACTACATTACCAAACCGAAGGTGGCGGGATCAACTCCCGGTCCGGGCTAGATAATATGTCGGGATGCCTCGGCTTCCCTAGGCATAGAATCTCATTGTGCTTGCCACACAATATACAAGTGCGTACATTGGTAGGCATAGAAGACTCTCAATTAATAACTGTAAAAGTGTATAAAAGAAAATTAAGTTGAAATCAGGCCCAAGCTCGTATGAGAGCTTCAAAGCAAGGAAGATGAAAAATTAATGAATTGGATAAGCTTTACTGAACCTTTCCTGAAATATTCAAAGCAGATGTCACATAATCAATCTGAGATCTCAGACTAATAATTTCATCTGCAACCCTGTCACGCACCAAGCTTACCTTTAGCTAAACGTCTGTAAACAGTGAAACCTGTAATATGATATTCTTATCGAGAAAGCTGCCACCCCGGAGCAACAGCTGAACGGCTTCCAATGGATGCTTCGATAAATCACCGGTAATTCAATTAGTCACAAACGCCACATCGGTCACGTCTCTGTCATCAACAGCGAGATAAGCGAATCTTTCCTCTTTCAGTGAGGGAAACCACCATACTCTGAGCAGACAATTGCATTAAAATTCAATTAATCTTATACTTTGCTCCATTTCCGTCAGGTGACGTTAAATTAAACGTATTCGTCGGTTTTTTGAACTAAGGCCACTGAACTCGCAATTTGTTTTCCCCTGGAAACTCGATAATGCTGTTGTCGTTTGTTCGGGTAGCTTTTTTTTCGACCGTTTGGAATCACGTAAGCAAAGCTCATTAACATCTATTTCCGAAACTTGCACCACTTCTACCCAGTCTTGAAGCGCCAGTGATTATTTCATGTCGACGAATTGTAACTACACTCGCTCAATTTTTAAGCACGAGCCGCACAATTGTACCATTGTACCCGAAAATTCACTTCCCGAGAGGGAAATCCGCGCTCAAGAATTGCAACCAATTCTACCGAGTTGCTGTTGTCAACTGAAGTTCTCTCCGGGTAGATTCTGCGAAAACTGGTAGCCGACAAGTGCCACCCACTACCACCTGCCCGATTCCCCACGGTTGGTGCGGTATGGAATTTACACGCACACAAAAAAGGTAGACGGAAAACAAACAGTCGTATTCGGAGACTACCCACCATCAGAGCTCCACAACTAGCAGCACGCACGCGGTGCTCCACCGAAACAGAGAGAAAGTCTCCACAGCGACGTCTACACGCGGTGCTCCATTAACCCCCCCCCCTCAACATTTAACACAGGGAGTGAGTACGTTACTACAAGTGAGGAATGCAAGAGTGTTGGTGGATTTGCTTACTGGTTTCCAAACGGTGCTGCGGGTTTCAACAGAAAATGGAAAGAGGAAGTTGTTTTCCCTCTATTGTTCAGTTTGATGAAAAAGTTCGGGAAAAGTTGTCAATTGAATCGATTCTGAAAAAATATGTGAGATAGAGTAGAATCATTGATAAGTTGTGGCGCTTCGGTTTTGACGTGCTCAAGAGGTAGGAGTTGTCCAAGTGAATTTAAGATTTTCTCCAACAAACGTAGCGATGATTTATTACAACATAACTTCCGTGAAATGCAAAGTGACATAAACCTTCAACAAATGCGTAGTTAGTAACACGAAACCCAAAGGGAAGGAAATATTACGCACTTTTATTTGTGTAATCCAAATGGATAATAAACTGGTGGAAAGCAAATAAAGCACAGGATGTGCCCACAAGGGTGAAGCTGAGGGGTAGGTCAATCATATAACGTTAGGGCTAATTTAGAACGTGATTACCAAGTAGGAAGCAGATTGATCAGTTGCATATAAAACAAAGTAAAGTAAGTAAGATATAATGATTTCTATATGTCTATCTAGATTTCTGTCCATATATGTCAATCGTCACAAAACAATGTAAAATTATTAGAGGGTGTATTCATGGAAAATGGCACACATATAAACAGTTGTAACTTTTTAGCTATAATCCATATGATTTGAAATTAACAGTGTAGAATGTTTAATCCATAACGTACATATTTTAGTTTTATGACGGTATTAGAGGTGGTTTAACTCGAGTTATGGTCATGAGACAACATGCTGTCTAATAAATTGTATACAATCCCAAATTTGAAATCAGCGGTTATGCAAGGAATTTCTTTTGTCATTGTTGTTGTTGAATCTTGGATCCAAACAATTTTTTTTTTGCAAAATATTATAATTCAAAATATTGTCCAGTTAGTCAGATGTTTCACTTAAAAAATGTGGCTCATTTTGCCATAAAAATCAAAACTTTTCTAAGTTTTTCATTTTTTCTGTCACACTCTAACGATTCATAATTAGTGAATAAATTGAACAGAGAGTGGAAAAATAAGTAAAAATAAACAAAATGCAGTTGTTTCACTGTAAAAACATTTTAAGACAACATTTTGTTTTGACGCAGGTCTACGTCTGTGATTTCTATATGGGGGTTCACTTTGTAAAAACCAAAAATGGAACATGTAACGAAAGATTTTGAACGTTAATAATTCAGCTGCTCCTGGACCAATTTCAATAATTTTATAACCAATCGATCAGAAATATTATTTTTAATTAAGACTTTATCATTTTTCAAAATGTTTCTTTCAAAAATTGCACGAATGTGCAACTGTTGCTATTATAATTAAAACTATCACCGATTGCCTGCAAAAAGCGATTTCCCTAACACAGATTTCAAAGTCTCACCAAACGGTGTTTATTCAATCACCGCATGGTGAGTGGTGGTGTTCTCCAGTACACAACGATAGGCTCCCCGCAAGCAGTTAGCTATCAGATCGATTCTCTTCAACGACTTTCTGTTTCGTTAATAACTCGATGGCAAACACATTCACTGATACGTTTATTGTTCTGGATGATATTCAGTCATCGTCATAGCAAGAAAAACTAGTATCGCACCACTTATGGTTCTTGGCTTACACTTGCTGGTTGCAATTCTGCTGTTCGACATTTTCGAAGGACCACAAAAAACATGAATTTACACTATTTCCTAGGGATGCCTACAGGTCCAATTATTCGATTAACGATTAAGATTAAGTAAAGATTTTTCCAGCAATTCAATTATATATTTATTGAATTTTCATTAACTCGAGCGCGTAATCGACACCCCTTCTTATATCTACTCGTTTGATTTAACGCAGTAGAGAAAATAAATAAAAATCGGAACAGGCATAGAGAAGAACCATGACGTGAAACAGAATCATAAATTCGCCGAAAAAAAGTGTTTAGTGCCTTTCTGCTAAAGGTTGAGATTTATCAACTTGTTGAGAGAAGAAGTTTAATGAGAAAAACTAAAAACGGGATGAGCTTTAGCTGGGTGGACACTAGACTGATGCAATGATGTAAAATTTGAAATGCTCCACACAAACGGTTCCAAATTGGGTCCTGATTAGCTTCCGAAAGTTTAAACTCATTTGATAAGAAACTGACTTGGCACAAACCATTTGAAGTTTAAATGGACATTACTTTGAGAAAACCAATTTTTTTGTTCATTGTCTTCTAGCCTTTTTTCATATTGTACTGTTAACAAGTTTTATTGCTATTCTTATGGAAATTTTTATCAGCTACAACTTTCCAGAAAATCGTTTTTCAGCCAAACGTCAAATTAAATAGTTATTAATTGTTAAAGGGATTGATATTCTTCTGGCAAGATTAAGCAACTGTATTGTGGGCAACACTGTATTCTGCAGTGTGACATAGTAGCCATGATTTTTGTCCTCTATTATACGCGCCATAAACACCAATGTTGCCTGCTGAACAGTTGATTGAGCATAATCATAAGACGTCAGTAACTTGAATCATTAATATTTTTTGATCTCACTGATCGAGAAGTGGTCTTGAACAAAGTTGTAGCTGACAAAATTTTCAACAAGCGCAGCTATCATTTTCTGAAGTAGAGTGAACTGGTGAATTTTGAGATAGATATGAACCGCAATTATGGTTTCCCCATAGTAATTTCCATATGAACTTGAAATGGTTTGTGCCAAGTCAGGTTCTTACTAAATGAGTTCAAGTTTTGGGAGGCTAATCAGGACCCAATTTGGAACCGTTTGAGCACTGTGGAGCGAAAATTTCAAATTTTGCATCAGTCAGTCACTGATATTCTGCGCCCTTCCAAAGATAAAATTGTTTATGTGTGAAACATTTTCCACGAATACACCCTTTAGTGATATTATAAACTTTCAAATATGTTGTGTTGGAGTGTTCGACTGTGAGGTTTTACAATAATCGGTTACAGTTTCGGCTTGGCAGTCTGGAAATCACTCAATCAGAACAAATTAATTTTGTAATTTGTCCCTATGTTTCGGCTCTGATTAGGGCCTTCTTCAGGGGAAACTGAGGGGAATTTTATTTTTAGAATTAATTGTTTCACATTTAATAAATATTTCACACTCACAATTGTTGAATTTGTTCTTTGTCTAATACTGTTTGAAGTTTAACGTCTGGTTTTTTTGTTGGTAAGTTTTTATACATAGCGGTTTTTAGTTGTCGGGGCCTTTCGATAAAGAAAGTTTGCTCTATCAGATGCTGGTGTTATATTTCGTGGGTGTGTTTTTGATGGTTGAAGGGTTTGTGTTTGGAGCTGTCGTTTACGGATGGTTGTTCCGCTTGTTTCAAATGTTAACCCAGAAATAGCCTGGCTTTTGGTTCAAATGCCAAAAGTTCATCCAAAGACACCAGGAGCATAAATTAAACATTATAGCAATTATGCTCCCAACGAAAACATATAAATACTATTATTCAATTGTAACTGGAAGCGTTTGGTACGGGAGGTCCACGCTTTCTTCCTTTCCCTTGATCTCAGGTTGTGGAGTGGTTTCAGATATTCATTTCTGACATCACTTGACTCCTTGAAATCCTCTCTGCGGCACATGCTGCGCAGTTGAACTGGCCGTTGACAAGAAAAATGACGGATTCGTGAAGCCGTCATTTTCCAGGATGCTCTCAAAGTATTGGCTGCGTTAGTGTGAGATTAAATTAGATTAGATAGCGGTTTTTAAATAGTTGAATATTCAAAGTTTTGTTGATTTTTCTATAATTTGTGTCGGGTATTGCGGTTGTGCACTCTTTGAGGGTTATGGTGGCTATGGTGAAATGGTGGGAACGGGTATTATAGTTGAGCTTTTTAGTTGGATTCAGGTGGGCATAATTGGTATTGCTGTTGGGCATTGATTTATTTGGATTTTAGTGATTGTATGTGAATTTGTATTTATTTTCACCAGAACTAAGAACACAGTACATTTTTTTTTAATATTTGTTGTCTAAAATCTCTTTGTGTAATTTTGGGCCCCTCAATGGTACAGTTTTTTTTTTAATTGTGCATACATTCTTTCGAAAGGCCTCCATGGCGATATGAAAGAAATCTAGATCTATAAATCATTTTTGCTTGTAGGGACGGGCACAGAGGCTAATATCCATACCTCTCATGTCAAAGTTACGAGTTCAAGTCTCATCCCGGACATGTCACAAATGACTCAAGAGTGTTAAACTGACTATAACAGAAAAAAAAAATATTAGGGGACGACGGGATAAGATGGCCACCCTTTGAAACAAACAACTCCTGAAAAAAAAAATGATGTAGACTTCTTTGTTATAGTATCGTAGATGTTGTAAAACCCTCTTTAGTTTGATAATAGGTGAATCGTCAAAATGAGAAGAGTTGGCTGTGCATGTGATCAAACGTGACGTTTGAACCAGGCTCAGGATACGATTTCCAGTTCCTCAGCGAATTCACTAGCACAGAAGAAGTCCTGTGAGAGCTACATCTCATTCTATCTAGTTCGACGTCCCTATTATTTGCCGCTGACAAGCCGTTCCGAAGTCAAGTAGAACCTTCATGGAACCCTCAACATCATATCATTTGTCCCATAGTTGAGTCGCAGCGCTGAACCTAATTATTGGCCA